CACAATAACAAAAGCACCAAAATAACAAACCCCATATCAAAGGCATAAACAACCATATAAACAACAGCGCCGTTAACAACCACACTCAAAACAACAACATTAACCACAACTACAACAAATATACAAACAACACCAACAGCAATGCCAAAAACAACCACACACATTACAACAACAACAACTGTTAAACTGAACACAGCTCATAAACACTGACGTCACACTGGGCTGAAGCTGGCTTCATATTCGCACACTCAATAATAATATGATTTCAGAAAAGTACGTTCATTTTAAATAGTGAAATCATATTATCAGCCAATGACTGTCAATGTACAGCACTGTTCACAGTCAGATAATGTTGTTGTGATGGCATAATTACATGCGATCACAGACACAATATTCACAGCAGAGTGGTAAACAATATGGGGAGCGCTACAATGAAGGAGTGTGCGAATGGATAACCTCAATTAACGTCAACACCCATACTAAAAACACACAAAATAAATGAGCAATCGCTACACAACCACCGACTACACTGCTCACAACAGCAGAACATGTGCAACCTCCATTACTTCAGGAGTCTCACACACACTATGATGAATAGTGATGAACTGACCCACATTAGAAGAGGGACATCAACACACACACACACAAATATACACACAAATATACACACACACACGCATGCACACACACGCACTCTTGATCAACCCTGATCAAACACACCTGAACAAGATAACCAAGGTCTACCTAGGTATACTTGAAACATCCAGGCAGGTGTGTTGAGGCAAGTTTAAGCTAAACCCTGCAGGGACACTGGCCCTCCAGGACCAGGATTGGTGACCCCTGCTATACACAACCATCTCTCTCAATTTCTCTTACCCAAAAGACAACATGTCAATACTGTATTCAGTGACTGGCCAATGCTAAATAATTCAACCAATAACAAGCTCAGCTGCATTGTTTGCTGGACCCTCAACAGTGTGCGCTCATTAATTCTCCAATAACACTGTAGTAGTTCATTGTGTGTGTATGTGTGTTTGTGTGTGTTCAAGTCTGATACTTACAGCTGCAAATGAGTAAGTGATGCCGAGCCAGACGGTGGATACGAGAGGAGGGACGAATGTAAAGGCCAGAAGACCAAACACAGGCAGAGTCAACACTGCACAGAGCACCGCAAACACACCACGCAGACCCACATAATCCTGCAGGACACACACAAGAACAATGACTGAAAACACAGCTTCAATATACTTCAGCTGCACCATGGTACAGTCCAAATAATGCTCTATTTATATATTACCCTATGTTATACAGTAGTTATTTGTTCAAAATATTGTTTACCTAAATATATATATACACACACACACACACACACACACACACACACACACACACACACACACACACACACACACACACACACACACACACACATACATACATATATATAGAGAGAGAGAAAGAGAGAGAGAGATAGATATAGATATATATAGATATATGTTCTATATGTTTGTAAAATATAAATGATTGCTTTTCCTTCACACTCTTGAAACTTTTACAGAGTGTGTTTGTGTCAGCATGTATCTGTGTGTGTGTGTGTGTGTGTGTGTGTGTGTGTGTGTTTCTTACGATGAGGATCCCGACCGCAGCTGCCAGGACCAGTGAACTGTCATAAACTGCGCCTGCGATGTACGCCGCCTCCTTCTGACTGTACCCACTGTACTTATCCTGGATAAACGTACTGTAACACACACACACACACACACACACACATTAACAATGCGTTCAGATTTACAGTATCTTGATTTATTGATTCACTTTCAGAATAAACAGAATAAAGAAGGAAAGAAGGAAAGAAAGAAAGAAAGAAAAAAAGAAAGAAAGAAAGAAAGAAAGAAAGAAAGAAAGAAAGAAAGAAAGAAAGAAAGAAAGAAAGAAAGAAAGAAAAGGAAAGAAGGAAAGAAAGAAAGAAAGAAAGAAAGAAAAAGAAAGAAAGAAAGAAAGAAAGGAAGAAAAAAGGAAGGAAAGAAAGAAAGAAAGAAAGAAAGAAAGAAAGAAAGAAAGAAAGAAAGAAAGAAAGAAAGAAAGAAGAAAAAAGGAAGGAAGGAAGGAAGGGAGGAAAGAAAGAAAGAAAACTGAACATCTTGACTGATAAAGAGTGAAGAAATGATGAGGAAATGTGCTCTGGAAGTGAAGTAATCCTGTAATGCAGAAGAGCAGATGCGGCTCAGGACTGTACCTGGCATCAGCGATGAAGGGGAAAATTCCATTATAGAAGAACATGATGGTGAGAACCAGCAGCCAATATCTGAGAGAGAGACGCTTCACATCCTGCACTCTCTACACACACACACACACACACACAAAACACAGCAGAATTAGGAAAATACAGCATCACACTCATTAATGCAGTGCAAAAATACTACTAAACTGTTACAGTTACATAATTATCTTTGCTCCTTGTTCAAACTACTTATCAACACAATTCTTGAGCTTTTTTTAGGGGAACTTCATTGTTTTATGCTTAATGTGCTTAATTTTGTAAAAATAATTAGGTTAATATAATGGATTTGGACAACATGAAGGGATTGTGTGGACCATGACATTATTTTTTTATCTAAATCTCACCACTTTGCGGGACTCTTCCTGAATGGCACCGTCCAAACCCAGCTGCTTCATGCCCATCTTATCCAGAACACTGACCGTAACAGCAGACAGGAACCCCAGAACACACAGGAGCGTGCCTGCAAATAACAGACACACGTGTGTTTCCAGACCTACTATGATGTTGTGTGTGTGTGTGTGTATTTGTACTTGTTTTTATATCCCTGTTTTTATATCCCAGTGTGGACCTCAACCTGAATGCGCACACAGTCCATTTGGGGTCCAAAATTGAGTTACTCATGCTTATAAATCAGTCATTTGTATTTTAAAAATGTAAAAAGTCTTGAGTCCTTGTAAGATGCACTTTAAGTAAAGTTTATATAGAGAGAGGAGTGTTTCTACAGGTGGTTGGTCAAGCCCACTCACTTGTAGGAGGCACAATCAGAAATGCACAATGTTTACATCATTAGTTCTATTAGAGTCCCCACTGGGATATAGGAACAAGTCTATGTGTGTGTTTATGTGTGTTTCTCTGACCTCCCCACAGTGTCCACTGCATGCCGTACTGCGACTCAAACCTCTGCGTTAGGAAGAAGTTGAGAACTGAGCCCAAGCGGGAAAATGCCAAAGTCAGTCCGAACGCCAAAGCCAGCTCCTTCCCCCGAAACCAGAACGCTGTGATCCTGTTCTGGACAACTGGGACAAGAACAGAGAGAGAGTTTTGAATTTAATACTTATGATCTAACTATAGCTAATCGATCTATTACAATATAGTCAAGTTGTGTTTTAACATGTGTTATGTGTTGTAAGTGAATATCGGTTGTCATACTGGTCAAAGATCCGTTTCCAGAGCCAAACAGAAGTCGTCCGGTCAGCATGAGTGGCAACAGGTAGGTTGTGCCCTTAAAATGAGACCCTAATGCAAAGATAGCTGATCCCAAAACAGTCAAGAAGGAGAACAGGAAAACGCCAACTACAGGAGAGAAAATACAAACATTTACTGTGAACTTTACACACACACACACACACACACACACACACTCACTCACACTCATGGAAGAAGAGTAAATATTGATGAATAACTTACAGCGATTTCCCAATTTATCAATGAGGAATCCCGCCATGATGACCACCACAGCATTCCTGCAAATAAACAATTAAATAATAATTAAAGGAATAAAGGAATAAAGTATTATAAAACTTTATGAGGCATGTTCTCCCAGTGTTCTCCACAAATACTCTTACACTACAACCAATGTAGTTTATCCAATTCTCCTATAGCGCATGTGTTTGGGAAACCAGAGCACCAGGAGGAATCCCACGCCAACACTGGTCCAAGTGATTGTCTTAGGGTGCTTTCACACCTACACTTTTGTTTCGGATCGTGTCTCGTTTGCCCAGTTAGCGCGGTTCGTTTGGCATATGTGAACAGGGCAATTGCGCTCTGTTCCGCGCCAAAGTAATCGCTCCGAGATCGCTTGAATGAGGTGGTCTCGGCTCGATTGAAACGAACCCTGGAGCGGTTCGATTGCAGTGAGAAAGCGATCTGATCCGAGCGCGGTTATATCACAGTGTTTTATGGATATGTAATAAGCTTACGGCTATATGAACGGAGAATTATGAGTATGGCGGGAAGTTTTGCGAGTCTCCGGATGCCCGCAAATGAGTGATGATCTCCCGGTAATTTTCCGTCTCCCTCCCGGTCCTCAAATAGGCATTGTCGCACACCCTTCTCACCCCTCCCTACCGCGTCTCTCCTCAGACACGTCACGCGCGCACACCCTGTCAATCACCACCAAACCACCACCTCTCCTGACAGCTGAGCGGGACGCTGCAAAATAAACCCTGACAAACTGACCAATGTAAGGAGAGTTTACTCGCACGTGACTTGTTTTAGCTCTTTTAGTCCGATTAGAAACTTTGCAGTGTGAAAGCGAACCGCTCCAAGAGCAAAGAGCAACAATGTAACAATTGTAATCTCTGTTTCAGAACAACTGAATCAATTCACAGGTGTGAACGCACCCTAAGTCTTGAGTGGTGTGATAGTAAATAAAGCGTGTGAGTCTTACGTCCAGGCGTAGATGGCGTAGAGTAGATTATACTCCTGTGGTGTCATTCCCAAACCTTCCACACATGTTCCTGTGCCATTCCCGGTGCTGTTACTCACCGTCCCGTTTGGACACGTCAAGTTCTGTACGAGAAAACACACAAAAACACGGTGTATTCAGAGCCTTATTTATTGAATCTGTTTTTTCTGATTGTGTTATGTTGTGTGTTTGGCTTGATTTTATCCAGCAGTTCTGTCTGATTCTCCAATCTGATTGGCTGAGCCATGAGATATTAAAGTAATATCAGCACCCATACAGCCTCTTCACCTTTGTGTATTACTCCGCCCACAGGAGTGGCAGGCAGAGGACTACAGTTTGACAAACATTGCAGCTGTTGGGTAACAATGTACTTTTGAGGCTTTTCAGGTGAGAATGTAGTTGTTTAGATTGCAACTATGCAGTTTATTTATAAGGATAGTGTCTGTTTTAAATATTCAGCATGTTGACAGCCATCAGCCTGTCATACTGAGCAGAGCAAAGACAGTTTACGTTCCACCACAAGATGGTGACAGAGAACGCATAATAAGCCCTTAGGGTAGAAAAAAAGGGTGTTTCATGTTTGATTTTCATATTTATATATGCAATTATGTTGTCTAACTGTTGTATAAATGCAAAAATCACACTTATAGCAGTGCGGTATGGCTGTATATAGTCACTGGTGGTACACTTATGCTTTGTTCACACCAGACGCGGAAAGCGCGGATAAATCGCGCTATTCGCGCGTAAATAGCCACGTGAACATTTAAGTTTACTCGCTTCATTCGCGCGTCAAACCCCGCTTCATTCGCGTGTCAAATTCACTTCAGAACAGACGCGGATTCGCGTGATGGGCAGGGCTTCTGTCTGCCCGAAGACTCTAGCTTCATAGCTAAATGGCTAACATGGATTTTATGAAGAAAATAACAGTGTTTATGTGGTTTATGAAGACTGAAAGACAGCGTTGATACGTTTAGAGTCGTGTCTGAGTCCACTACATTCTTTCAGAGGTGCATCCAGCTCTGTGAGCTCATAAACTCCTCCAGAAACTTAACCTGGATGACGGAGGCTTTCAGCGGTGCTTCTGACTGAGCCAAGCCCGGGTTTGATGAACTGTTGTCAGTGAAGGCTGGAGGATTTCCCTCGGAACACCAACAACAGGTTCTACGTCACAATCACGCCCCCACAAGAGCAAGCTTCTGATTGGTTAACGTGGCACAAATGTACGTCGAAGTTCAGATTTTCGAACTCGAGAGATTCTCGCAAAACGCTCGATAAGCGCGTCAAACGCGCAAAACGCTCAATTTGCCCCGTGCCATTCGCGCAATTTGCGTCATTGCGTCTGGTGTGACCACAGGCACTCAAGCCAACACACACCTCCCACCATTGCCGATATACAGTCATATCCCACTGCTATTCGTGTGATATTGCCCATGTATCAGCCTATCAAATAGAAACAGTATGACTAAACTGACTAAATTAAGACTGCATCCAAGGTGATTGGAGTTCAACAGACATTGCTCCAAGATATTTTAAGAGAACGAGTGGTTAAAAACATTCATACAATAATTAACTCTCCATCTCAACCATTGCACAAGGAGTTTGTTGTACTTCCATGTAAAGCAATACCAATTACTATTTCTACTATTTCTACTTTAAATCATCTGTACATATACTGTGTAAATGATTCACTCCAGTAAATCAGAAGAAAATAAATATCGCAATGTCAAATACGAAGCGATTATGTTGCGTTAATCCAGCCTGTTGAATAGATGAGTTTATGCAGAAAAAACTACATTACCCACAATGCTGCAACACAATTCCACCAATCAGAGTGTCACAGTGAGTAAAGTCCAGCTACAGATATTAAGCTTCACCTACTGCCATTAGGAACTGTAAATAACATGATCAAGTCAACCTACGCTCTCAAAAATACCAAAATATTTGTAAACATTTATATTTTACAACAAACTTGAAATATGATGTTTTATAGACACAACCGACAACTTATATTTGCTTCTATGTGAATGCTAACTGAGCTTAACATGTTAAAAATCACACGTAAAACATGAAACGTGAAGTTTTGGAAGACATTCAAAACAAAAATGTGTTCGCATGAAAATTTGATTTCACAGGACGTATTGAGCTGTGTCACACTGTTATCTGTAACACTGTTGATATCCTTTGAGTTGGTTGGTTGGATTATGGATTATTATAGGTCTTTTAACCATTTTTAAAACTGTACAAATTGTAAATAATAATAATAATAAAATAAATAAATAAAGAGGATAAAACTTACAAAATCTGGGTCTGCAAGCACTAAATCACATTAGTTCTCCTTACTATTAATTAACAATGAAAAGACAAGCCAGCCACTATGTAACGTAAGCAGTCATACACAATTTTGAAGACATTTATGCAACACAATTACATAAAGTAGTCTGTAGTATGTGTAAATTGTGCTAAATATCTCCAAATATGCATATTCCTCAATGATATGACCCCTTTAAAGATGTGAAGATGATAGTAAAATTGCTCTTTACCCCTTGAAACTGCTCCTGCAGGACACTGGGAATGTCGAAGCAGAAATAAGAGCCGAATGTCAGCATACAGTTAAAAAACAGGACCACAAACCGGTAGTAAGCTGTAAATACACACAATAATACACATGTATTCAGAGAAAGAGAGAGAGAGAGAGGGGGAGTTAGCAATGTGTCAGATTACATATAAACAACAAAGAAAACAACACTTACTAGCTATAAATATCCTATGAATTGTGCTATTTGTTGTCAAGCTGGTTAATTTAACAATAAGTCAGTCACATTTCCCTCTGTTTACATACTGAGCGCTTATTTAAATGTCACTGAATTCACAAACATGTTGAAACCAGTGAAATGGTTGGTTTATTTACCTTGTTCTGCAGGTTTGGCCATCTCGATGCCTTATAAATCTCTGCCGTTATCCCATAAAGTTCAGAGTAATTTATCTGTGTTTATGTGACCCAGAAAGTAGGCGATCTTCAGAATGTGCAGTTTGTGAGGATATTTACTGATCTGTAAATCATAATACAACCGTGAAAAGCCTCGAAGAGTTGAAACAGTCGATCCAGGTTTTCTGCCAACCGACATTTTCCGCATTTAGCCTTACGTCATAGACTGGGCGTCATGTGACTTGACGATGACGTTGTTTTTCTCAGCGCTGACGCAGCATTTAGTGGTGATTGGGCAATCAGAGGTGATAATTAGATCATTTAATCATGCATGTGTGTGTGTTTTTAAATAAAAAAAGTGCTTGATTAACTCTTCTGATATGTTTAAATCATAGACTGATTTAAACAAAGCACAATCAGTGAGCATTGTACGCCCTTTAAACAGGCATAATAACAAATAAATGGGTCAAACATTTAGAAAATGGCATTTATGCATTAAAACAGTTCGATTTTCTAATTTTATTTACAGACACCATCTAAAAAGTCATTCAGACGAATAAAAGTGTATACTGCAATTTATCTTGTCAGGTATATATAGACGAAAAGGATGTTTATTTCCAATTATTTGTCATTCAGTGGATTTTTGGAAAACATTTATTGGTAAACAGTGCCTTACATTATCTAAATCAACATGCAATAAGAAAATAAGAGCCCTGCTTCAGGAAGATTCTGTTACTGTGCCTTACGTAATGTCATATTGGAATGGTTTTGTGAATGGTATTTCCCGGAAGAAAGTTTGGTTATTACCCCACAATTTTTTATAACAAATAAAATAAGAGAAGTGACCTTTAAACTGATTCATTAATTCAAACAAGTGTAATCGTAAAAGGCTTAAGAATGATATTAACACTAACTGTTCTTCTTGCTTAGAGAATCCTGAATCTTCTGTTCGTTTATTTTGGAGCAAGAGCAAGAGTTGCAAGTGTAAACAAAATTTTTCTAAATTTAACATTGAAATGAAAATGTATTTTGAAAAGCAATACGAACAAGGACTTTGATGAAGAACTTGGCACTTGTCTTGGACTAAATTACTGAAAATCCCTGGTTTGACGTTGTTTGATTGATTGATGACATTTGTTGTTAATGTTTTTCAAGCATTTAATAATAATAATTATTATTATTATTATTAATATATATATATATATATATATATATATATATATATATATATATATATATATAAATATTTATATATATAAAAAAAAAAAAAGAAAAAAATAAAT